TCTGTATTTACAGGTACACAGATTTATAATCTTGTCTATGAATCAGTGTTGTCTGTATTAACAGGTACACTTATCTATAATCTTGTCTATGAATCAGTGTTGTCTTTATTTACAGGTACACAGAGTTATAATCTTGTCTTTGCATTGCTGTTGTCTGTATTTACAGGTACACAGATTTATAATCTTGTCTATGCATTGCTGTTATCTTTATTTACAGGTACACTTATCTATAATCTTGTCTTTGCATTGCTGTTGTCTGTATTTAAAGGTACACAGATTAATAATCTTGTCTATGCATCAGTGTTGTCTGTATTAACAGGTACACTTATCTATAATCTTGTCTATGAATCAGTGGTGTCTGTATTAACAGGTACACCTATCTATAATCTTGTCTATGCATCAGTGTTGTCTGTATTTACAGGTACACAGATTTATAATCTTGTCTATGCGTCACTGGTTTTGTTGTTTACAGTTACACAGATTTATAACCTTGTCTATGCCTCACTGTTTTCGGTATTTGTTTATGAGTCACTGATTCCGGTATTTGTCTATGAGTCACTGTTTTTTGTATTTACAGGAACAAAGTTGTCGTAATTACTACCAGCCACGTTTGCTATCTTCCTGTTCACTCTGTCAGCATTAGTTGTCGTGTGATCATATTGACTAGAGGCTTTTGGATCAGACATCCTGACACTGTCATATTCTTCGCCTATCACCATATCAACTTGACTGACGTGAAAGCTGTCGTACATTCCTTCCCTTGCAGATATCATTTTCATTTGGTCATACGGTTTCATATTGTGATTAGTTGATGTTTGTTCTGGCAGGGGCTCGTGTAGGGAGTTGTAATGGTCATTGACAGGAGCAACACATATGCCGTTAGCAATGTTGGAGTAGTGCTCATTTTCTGGTGTTGGTGGAACTGTAAGAGGCAAAGTATTGTGAAAAACATATACTTATACTACATTCCTTTGGATGTATACGTGTTTTAAACTTGATAAGGTATGGGGAATATCACTGTGTAGTAGTTTCTCTATGTGTTATTTTTATGCTGCAGAAAAACATAGTTAATGGCTTATACATTATCGAACTTGTATGTTATAGTTAGTTGCAATACTTTCCATAAGTAGTCCCCCTTGAACAGCCCCATTAAAACATCAAACCTGATTATTATCAATTTTCTGATATTTTAATTTAAATGCCTGTTTCAATACAACTAATACATTGTAAATTCATGTTTTTATCTTAACATAAAACTTACTGGATTCGTTTCTTTTCAGCTGTTTACGGCTCCGAAATCGTCTGAAGAAGTGAAAGAGAAAGTAAAAAAGCAATAAGCACATGTTCTCTCACATGTTTTGAGTGTAAAAATGTCCGTATTATCAATGCTACGATAAAGATATAATGATTAGTTCATCACAACGATGTACAATTACAGTCGGGCATGCTTGTCTGGCCGGGTCCCCTTTCTATTCTTTACTACATGAATGGTCTATCTTATCATCAAGGGATATAACACATGACCTGACATACCAGATTGTTACACAAAATCTTTTTGATAATAAAATATCGCTCGAACTCTATGTTTAAAACAATATATTTACATTTGCATGGCATTGTCACTATGTAGCCTCTTTGAAAGCTGTGTCGTTGATCGGACTTGAATTATCATGCAGCACGAGACACAATTCTTAGCGTATTAATACAACACTGACCGGAAGTACAATATCCAATATAAATAAACATGACGGCTGCTGAAATATCACTGGGCATTGTGAGACTTGACAATGTCATTGTAAATTTATGTGCAAAAGAAAAAAGAAAAGATCACAAAACTTTATTACAACAAAAACAAGACCAATGTCTGCCATATCGTACAAAATGCACATCGGTTGAAATCACCAATGCCAGCAATGGAAACAATTTTAACACTATCAGAGATATCGTCTGTTATACTGCACTGATAAACTACAAATGTCTGAAATACACATATTATAAAGACCTACTGACACATATGTTACAGACCTACTGATATGAATCACAGCACACATAAACATTTCAGACATTTGTAACGAACCCCTGTGCTCCGTCGCAAGATCACTCAGTTCAAACGCTATCAGTTTTACGCGTCTCGCAACCACGGTTCCTGATGACATTTGAAATAATGAGGCTATTATAGAATATACCGACTGTAGTCAGATTCCCATACAATCAACACATAAATTCACGTCTGGATTCTTCACAAATTCGAACTTTTCTCTTTGCTCATTTAACTTCCAAAAACAACTCCCTCGTGGAGGGCAATATCGGATTTACGGTGTTCACTGTATTTATCCATGCGCAAAATTTGTTCCGGGGAAAAATCGAAACAATTTCAAATCTAACTTTCAGCTCAGAGTTCTATTGATAAACTTAAATCACCCTACAGACACATAAAACGCAATTGTATTGATACTGAATTGTGGAATAAAATTGAAGTGTTTGTTAAACTTTCAAAGTACTACTTTGTTTGCCAATCAGAACGCGACAACACGCTGTTCCAACTATTGAACTAATTTGTGTGGACTGTCGAAAAGGCGGGAATTTTAAAAATAAATTGTAAGTTAAAAAAGAACATAAGTGGTAGAGAAAACGTAAATATAAGTGCTAGCGCATTATGTTATTTGCTTGCAAAGCTGTGTCATTCAAATAGATCATAAATACCATACAAAAACAGTTCAATGCTTAAATATGTATCGAATGGTGGTTTATGGTTCATAGTGTAAATGTCGTCATTCGGAAACAAACACATTAAAATACAAAAGATAAGCAAAATTAATTTTATTTACGTATATAATGTTTGTTTAGGACAGGGGATGTTTACTTTTCGACAATGAATGCGTTTTTTATTCACAGTCCCTTCAGTCTCTACTTTTCAGTTATTACTTAATGTAGTCATTTTCGCGAGATTCAATTTTCGTGGGTATCAAGTTTTCAGGTTATGGCACAACAGCAAGGACACATTGATTTTCTATTGATTTTAAAGGTGTATACTTTTTTTAGTAGAACCCACATGATATGAATTGCGTTGAACAAGAAACAGAAAAATAATATATCTCGTTATTAAAACCATGTGTTGTCGTTTAAAAATCTGTTTAGAATTCTAATGCAAACTGTGTTTTGACGTCTACAGTGGAAGCACAAGGTATGTGTTGTTGACGTGTAGATTTGTAACGTGCGGGCGGTCACCCATCCAACTACTGTCCAAGCTCGACGTTGCTGAACTAGTGAGTGGGTCCCTGGGTTATACAGCACCACTCAAAAAGCTAGCTTGCCAGTATGGCGATATTTTTCTCTCATACTTTTTAACTGTTACACTATCCCACCGCTGCCACCAAATGTAACGTGCGGGCGGTCACCCATCCAACTACTGAACTAGTGAGCGGGTCCCCAGGTTATACTGCATCACTGGAAAAGCTAGTTTGCCAGTAAGGCAGTATTTTCACCTCATAGTCCTTAGCTGTTACATGTTGACATATGACTTACCTTGCTAGTATGAATATACCAGTTGTGACAGCGACCAGGATAAGTGTCAGAAAGATAACAGATACCATCGCTACCAAAGGAAAATTGTGACCTCCGTCACGCAGAATTACGGTAGTATCATTTGAGTCTGAAACAGAATATGTGTGTTTATAGATAGTTGTATCATTGCTTCATTTCATTCTCTTATACCATATTTCTATGAACACAATACTTTCCTACTGATACATAGAGGATCTTATATGAATGTCAATGTCATATTGAATTTATTGAAAGAGTTTAATAAATTCAATATAATATTGACACGAATTTAAGATTCTGTATATCACATAACATTCATATTTTGAAGAAGAACAAAATCAGACACAATGATTTGTTTTCAGCTGACTCTATATAGTTAAAACCAAAGTACTACAATCATAATATTATCGTTCCGCATAGTCCAAAGTAGGTTTTTTCTCTCTTTTTTTTTAAAATGATGAACCGTTTTTAATGCAATGAAAATAATAATAAAAAAATAAACATTTCACATTCATTAAAAATAACAGTAAATGTTTGTGTTAATAAAAGTGGTACCTTTGGTGGCGTAGGAATATGTTCCCAGGGTTTTGACTAATAACAAAACCTTGTGGTTTTATTATACATGTGTAATACCATATTGATGACATGGCCGTATGACATTGTAAAATTGGTCAGTTTTGTGATAAATAAAATGACGAAATGCATGTAGTTACCTAAACATCAATCACTATAATGAATTAGAGGTTTAATGATATAATGTTGGACGCCTTCTGAATCGGGTAAAAAGGTTTTAATGCATCATACTGTATCCTGGCGCAGTTTAAATATACCGATTTAAGTTTGGTTTTGGTTTAGTTTTATTATGTTAAGCGTCCTATAACATTGTATGGTCATTTCAGGACTCGCCTCAATGTATCATGAATATGCATGAATACATATTTGTATGCGTATGCGAGGCGATATCTTGGTGTATTTGCCTCCTTCGATAGCACGAATCTAATACCGAATTTATAGTGATAGCTCAGGCACCCAACATAGCATTTCATCCGGTCACATTATACTGAAAATGGGTACACCAGTTGTTGTAATTACTTAAATACCGAACGTTTAGCAAGAAATAGCAACTGTCATTGTTGCCTTTGTGTGCCATTTGAAACTGTACCGTACATTAGATATGTACTTCATTGTAGTCTTAAAGTGGAACCTACTCTGTTCAATATTATCTATTGTGATACATATTTAGAGGTATAACAAACCCGTGTTATACTTTATCAAGTGTTACTATAGCGGCGGAATCCATTACAGGCCTACTTGGATATTTAACTTGTGTTTTACAGAATGTACTTACTCATTTCACATCTCTCCCCGGAGGACCCCAGCGGACAAACACAACTACCATTTGTTGGAAGACAAATCTCAAATAGCTCACATTGACACGTCTCATTACACGACTTTCCGTAGGTCGAATTACTGCATACTAGCCGGAGGTAAATGGGAGAAAAATAAGTAAGACAACTTCATTAATCAAGAAAGTTTAAGTAAAAAGTACAAAAACATAAACTTAACAGGCATAAAAACTACAATGAAAACCACCCACCCAACTCGCAAAAAAATATAGAGACGAAACCACGTGACCCAGCACTGCATGATCAAGAATTCATCAGTCTCACGCCAAATCCTAGAGGAAATGAATAAGACCGCAATAGAAAAAAGAGCATTTTTAGGAATTTACTTTTGTTACAAAGGACCGAAATCAACAATGTGGAACGTGCAAATCAATTTCAAGGCAGGTATGTTCCTGAAGATATGAGGGCTTTTTGTTTGGTGCTTATTACTGTTAAACACCAAACCATTACTGTTAAACACCAAACCATGATTATTTCTTTAAAGTATGATGATTACTGAAAATCACGAATCTTGCTCAAACACTATTTGTTCTCTTAAAAACTGCAAAACGTTACTTTATTTGCGTCTATATATATGCATTATTTTATACAATAGACATAGTACAATTACGACCGGTAGTTCATATCTTAAACCCTCGGATCAACATACACACGTGGCTATGATACAGTGTGTTTATTAATTGAATAAATAGCATAGAAACACAAGGGACAAAGGAAGACGACTTTATGGCTCGTGTCCTGTTCGGGTCTCGAACACTCATGGCCTACGGCACCAAATCATCCAGCCTAGAAATATCGTTATTGTGTTACTGTTTGTAATGACAATGTATATAGCTATACATTGCCACACAAGAATTTATAATACCATTTTAAGCTTACATTCGGTGCAAAAATCGCCTTCCCATCCTGGTTTACATGAGCACGCTCCACTCTCGGGGTCACAACGTTCAGTTCCCAGCTGTTGGCACAGACAACTTTCACGACACGCAGGGCCATAGGTCCAGTCAGCAGGGGGACACACTGTAATGGGGATAAAGAGTTTATCAATCTAGGTTGATATGGAACACTAACCCTAAAGATGCCCCAACCTTCGTAATACTCATGTATGCTTTTCTTGAAATTTCGTGTTGTTATTTCTGTATTGTGTAAATTATAGTTGAGGTGTACAATCATGTTCGTGGCGAGGTTATGTCAATAACCCGATATTGACACGTTACAGGGAAATTCTTGTGTAATTAAAGAATGAGAGACGCCTCATGCAATGATCCAACAAACTCCAGAAATAGAGCTTCCGAAACAGAGACAACCATTTTGACAGACGGAAAGACACTGACACAAGACCTGGGTCCTGTTCGTTTATGTGGAACAAACGGTTTGTCTGTTTATAAGTGTAACGTATTCGGGTATGAATCCTGACGGACCTACAAATGTTTATGCAGGCCTTGCAAGGCTTTGTCAAGGCTCGCCTGAAAGCAGCATCAGATTACTAGGTCCGACCTTATTTCATAAACGAACAACTCACAGGTCCAACAATTTGGATCGCGATAAACGAAAGCGGCTAGATGACTTCGGTTATTTCATGTATAAAGCGTATGCAGATAGTGTTGACAACTTCTGCCGTCCAACAAATTATCTTGTAATGGATCAATCTCTAGCTCTGTGACAATACAGTATTTTGTAAAATATGAAGATCCTCGTGAAAATGCACGCCGATTAATTGGTATCGGTTTAAATGATAAATAAATAATATTCTGTTAAACGAAGTGAATAAAAATATAATAAAATAAATTGTAATATAATAAAGACCACATGCACGCTTCTATCGAGAACACAGGAGTGATAACTAATAATATAAGTTAGAAAAACTTGTTTAATAATTGTTGTAAAATTTACAAAGTTTATGTGTTAAATTGAATTAGCTCCTTAGGTACAAAATCGTGAAGATCTATAAAAAAAAATCACAAAAAAGTGGGGAAAAATGAGTCTTCGGCTGCTTTATTACAATGTTCATATAATGCATCAATGCAGCGACACAGTGGCACGACATCATGTCTATTGTTTGAATATCGACGTCACAATTGGTGAAGCATTTGTATAACATTATGTAGTGTTCTATACAATGTAATCACTACATACCACGCTACTCACGTGATGATGTGCTATAAATATATACTTATAACCTAGTGCGCTATTCAAAATCAACACGTGAGGACTGCTTACCTTCATTGCAGGTCTCTCCTGTGTAGCCTTGATTACATATGCATCCTTCCTCTGAATCACAAAAACGATTTTGGGAGGGAGAGCAATCACATGTTTCAGCACAGAACATTCCGTAACGATTGGCAGAGCAGGCTGTGGATATCAAAGGTAAACATTAAACATAGACAGCATCATGATGCAAAGTGAACGTGGGGGTCTGGATACTTTAAGTTATTTGAGCATTTCAGGTCCAGATCATCAATTCTAGTATCCTATTACTTGCAATTTTTAAGGGAAATAATGATTCGGTAAATCGGGACAGAATCTAGTACGTTTGGTCATTTGACTGATGTAGGGGTCATACTGATGATGAAGATAAAACATAATGCACAGGATAATGTATTGAAGACTATTAATAAACAAGCACCCACTGTATACCCCGGTATCGACCGCGAATAAAGAAATGTATGGTGGCGTTTTGATAATATCAACAAAAAACAATCATATGTTCAGGAAACAATTTTTTATTTGTTAGCTGCAAATGGAAGCACGTTTTGAATTGAAAGGAAAACGTGTTTCGGAATTTATAGAAATAATATTTACTTCAAACATTTTTGACCGACTCCCACAAATAATGCTTTGCTCAATATTTTGACTTGGTATTTACATATGGTTGTACAGAATACATTTAAGCATTGAACTGCTTTCAGTTGGCGGTCAAAGGCAATATGAATGCCAACTGGACAAAGGCAAATCCAACGAAGCAAATAGCACTTCATGTTGGATTTGCCTTTGTCCAGTTGGCATTCAAACATATATTGCCTAGTAATGCCAACTGAAAGCATTTCAATACTTATATTTACCATTTTATTTGGAATCTGTTCATCTCATAGAAATTTCAATTACACTTATGATTATTCGGCATTTGGTTCAAATAATGTATGTATCGTGTATACTTGTTCAATGGAACAACCATCGCCGAGGGAGGGTCATTGGTATCCAACGTAACAGTTATGACGTCATAATAATAATGACGCCATCAATTGGTCCATGGCACTCATAGCCTATGTGAATACCATACGAGTGTAAACATCCCTTAGTACCGCATACCTTCTGTGCATCTCATGCCGGTCCACCCAGGCATAGAACAAGGGCACTGGCCATCCGTCTTATTACATGTGCTGTTGTTCTTACAAGAACATTCATATTTACAGTCTTGTCCAAAATAGCCATCCCGACATTCTACAATAAATATGAATCAATAATAGCCAATGATTAGGTTTGAGTTGCGGCCGCTTTAGTCATTGGTCAGTCCCTATCAGATACAGTCAAGATAAAGCATATAAATATACATACTGATATTGTAGGTTCAATGACATAAGAAAAATGTGTATGCTATGACATTATTTTAGGAAACGAAAACGTATAACCCTGTATAACCAATGTGTTTCTTTAGTATCCGCTTATTGAATACCTCATAAGACAATCACTTAATACATTATATGTTACGGGCAAATGTGTGACTTTCTTCTGTGATAACTGGTAGTGAAATTCATTAACATAGGTATGCCTCACCGTTTTCTTGTTGCCCATGTAAAAAAAAAAAAATATAAAGCAACTATTTTTATTATTTTAAAATACATATTATGTTAACAAACCAAATTACCTTGCTTGTTTTGATAAAATTACCTAAAACAAGCAAGGTTGCATTAAGTTCGTATGTCAAATGACTGTAATTAATCATCATCCTATATCGTTATTGTAACTTACCAAATATATCATTGCTGTACACACAGCTTTATGTGGGAGTGCACTCTCTTACTCGGAAGATTTCGAAAACACCATGTGTTTTTTTCCAGCTGCTGTTAAAATAATGAAACATATTGTGTTCCGACTTACCGGAATTACACTGTGCTCCGTGGTATCCGGGTTTACAGAAACACGCCCCGGACTCTTTCGCACAACCGAGGTACGCATTTTCCCAGTTACAGTCACATGGACTACATTGATCTCCAGTCCTGTAGTAGTTCTCCTCACATCCTGATAACAGGGTGAAAAAAAGTCTTGTTGAAAGCAATAAAACAAATTACATGTGTCATATGTTTTTTTAAAGTTTCCATGTCAGATTAGATTTTTATACATGTGATAAGTCCAGAAGAATAAAAGTCTTGAAGAGGATTATATAAGTCTCGTACAGTGTTACAAAAATAGATGACTTCAAACAAACAATTGTTTAACTATGGTTTAATGGAAATAAGCAATATCCTGTTAACGTCTAGTTTCGTTACCATCTGAACATTTTAAAATGACTACTTGTAATGTGCCGTGAAGTAACTAACAAACGTTGTCAATAATCATCATTTAGTACCAACTGCTAAAGGTGGTGAAACGATTGCTGTTTCTACGGACTATAAATTGAACAGATATGGGGTTATTCCTTCAGTTCAACATTCTTGGGATATTTGGTGGGATTCTCATTTATTTATGGCGTGACATCTTTCTTTTAAAAGATAGAAAGACGAAAAATGTAAATATAAGCAGTCTTTCAGTCTTTTAGATGCGGTTCATAGGCAATATGAATGCCCGCTTCATTATAGGAAAACGTAGCATACAATGCTGCGGTTCATGTCATTTTCTTAGAATGCAATGGGCATCAATCAAACAATCGGGAACCGTCGGTACTTTCCGTTAACGATTTTGTCAGATGAAAGTGACAGAGTACATACCGTACTAGTCATCGAAACGTCACATATCAACACTTACTGGTTGTGCGAGATGAATCTGTTCACAATATCCTTTAATGGATTTTCACAGTATTTTCTGGTGTAGTAGAACCCATTTTCATGTAAATTTTCATAACACTTATAAGTTGTGTTACATGAATCTTTTCACAATCCATACTTACCGACATGAAGAAAATGTTTAGAAAAACATCATTAGAGGGTAGCTGTATCCTTGGTCCCCTCGAGGATAGCATTTTCCCCTAAGTTAAAGCCTATATGATTACCTTGATCTATCTCTTTGCACTCGTCTTCTGTGTTTTGTCTTGAAAACCCAGGACAACATGCCCATCCATCGACATAACCGGTGTACGGTATTCTTCTCCAATCAAAACTGACGACATCATGGTAAGAGAAACAAAAAATGCAATTAACTAAGTCTTTCGCATAAAGTGTGATATTTTAAGTAAATGACATAGAAAAGGTTACTTTACATAAGACAATAATATCGTGCCATCAGCAAAATAAAAACGCAAGTTTGACGTAAAATGAAAACAAAATCAAAAGAATGATGTGAACTGAAAAAAAAAAGTATATAAATTTGCAAAGGACTGAGGGATGAGCGTTATCCGAGCAAAAACCTCCTATGAAATCCATAAAACCCGTGTCTTTCAGAAACGATAAAATATGTACTGAACATGTGTAGTGTTTGATCTCGTTGATATACATTGTAATTCACAGTTGCTCCCTCGTGAAGTGTAATAGGGTATGCTCCTGGGCAGGGAAAATTCTTGAATTTGAGAGCAGTGGGCCATATCAGCAATTTTAGTCAATATCAAAATAAAGAGGGGCCATTCTACATAAAATTGAAAGAAAATTTTTGAGGGGTCAATGGCCCCATGGTCCCCTCCAGGGTGATTCCTGCCTGGGTATACGCAGTCGTCTGGTGGAATAAACATGTCATCTACAGTTTTAAAGATTTGTTATTTGAATTCATAACCTGTCAGAAGTCAGACCACAACGAAAGTGTATATTGTAGACTGTTGATTTTTACAGTACATGTAGATAGCTATATAGTCTCATCATACTTACACCTCCCTATATCCGCTGTTAGAACAGGAAGGTATCACTAGGAAGTCCTGTAGGTGAACACAACGGACTATCACCCTTTGGTAATCCAGATAATAACGAGTTTTTGGCGTCCTATGTAAAATAAGATATCATCTCTTAAGTCATGTACTGACATACGGTAACGGTTGGTTCAAACCTAACTGCAGAGTGAAGAGGAAATGTTATTTGAAGGTTCACTCATCCACCCCTGAAGACACATTTGAACTCTTCCAATTCAATGGTTGAACTAGGTCATTATGAAATTTCAGGGGTGAATGAGTTGACTTTAGCACTCTTTGACCCTATTGGCCCAGTCTTTCAGCGTCGTCCGGTTCAGATTCAGATTTTCGTTACCATACGCTCGTTTTATGAAATATTTGGGTCTTAATGCACCTGTAACTTCACTGAGCTGATGTCGTTTGTAGATTTTACACTGAAGGATAACATCAGTTTAACGAATGAATGAAGTATGCATGATTGGTTATTGGTAAACTTAAATACATGTCAAATCAATTTTGTTTATCATAGTGTCATATAGTACAGTCACATTTATACAATTATATAGATAATGTAGTTACATAGCCTAAACACATTAAGTTACTTAGCAGGGATCAATCATCTTAATGTAAAAACATGTAGACATAATATCATAATTTTGTCAAGAACAGTTATAATGCGTAATAAATTAAAACCAACCATCACAGGTTCCAAACCACAGGGCAGGTGATTGGGACAGCCCCTACCTAACAAGCTCTCTGGATTTTGTGCTTACATAATTAATATTATATATCATAATAAATGATTGTTTTCTTTTACATTTACTGCATTAACAAATTATGTCTTTAAACAATGATAATAACAAAAGTGATAAATAAAATGAATAAAAATACATAAATATAATATAGATATCATTTTCTAGTTCTACCTTGTACCTAAATTTAGGTTCCCAAGGGTTGGGGAGCCCCCTACCAGCGAGGTCTGCTAAATTCACACTATTTAGCAGCTAATTATAATTTAAACGAAATAAAAATGTAAGGAAAGAAAATAAAAAAGATGAGATGGACGATTATTTTCAATAAATTGAATGTTCAAACAATGGTATATCACACAGGTTTCATTGTACTTATCACAGCTTACATCACACGCTTTGTCCGATAAACATAATGTGTGTTTTATCCCTGTAGCTTCGGAAATTTCTAACATTTCGGATCCCGCTACATGATTGAACAACGCGACTATTGCAAGATTCCGTTCAATATCCTCTGCTAGGGAGACATTAAAGAGACAAGAATCAATGAAATACCTCCACATTACAACACTTTCGAAAGCTTTTTTTATGAATTCAATTCCATTCATTTTACTAACTTCAGGCCTTGCGGCTCATCAGTACATAATATCCTTAACACATTACATAATAAACGACAGCACGACAAACAGTGCAAAGTGGAGAATGGAGTACATATACGTATATGTAATTAAATTCTCAACTTATTTGCTTCCAAATATATATTTACCAAGTTTACATAGCTCCTCGGTTCTTGCGCTAACACATAATACTTGTGTAAATTTAAACACAGATGTTTTTTTCCGATAATATTTGTTTATATATTGACTTCTTTAATTTGGATAGGTATTACATATAAGAACATCTTCAACCTCTTCGACCGAATTACACGAGGTACAACATCTCAGCGATCGAACAACTTTTCGATATTTATCTGTCTCAAGTGCTTGGGAATGCGCAGACGTACGTAATTTTGTTGGATTAATTCTGGATTTTTGGATATATATATTGTTAGTTAATACTGTATTGAGAAGTTGTCTACAATAAGCTGATATACACTTATATGAAGCTTCTAACAGACCTCTTTAACATTTTTGTCCCCGGTCAAAAATTCTTTGACAAATTAGAGGTAAAGTTAATTTATCGTGACCCCTTGTCATATCGCTATTGTAATCTGCCGCGACTTAAAGCATCCAACAAATAGAAAACAGAAAATGATTACAAATGTATGAAAAACGACATTCATCAATCGTACAATACTTACCATATCTGACAGAGGTTGTCATGCTGACGATCAGTGCTTACATTATAAATAAAACACAGTATCAGCTGTAGTCTTACCACAAATACATACATTTCTATAGACTATCGTCTGTCCCTACTACAATATAGTATCTGCAAGTCGTTCTAATATATCTAGCACAGCCTCTTATGTGTCTAAGTATTGATGTCGTTACGGTAAATATCCCAAAAAACAGCTCTTCTAAAATAGAGAACATAACAGGATGTTTATCAACAATATGATGTCATGCATGACCAAAATAGGTACATGTCGTGGGAAATCTTTGAATGTGTCAAAATGAATACGGAATTCATAAAACAAAACACCGAAAATTGTAGGAAATAGAGTAAATATCCTTACTTTAACTATATAAATAGTTCAATTAATCCATTTTAGTTTCCTTAGTGTCCCGTAGGCAGATTATTCATAAGAATAATAGGAATCGTATAGAAGAGAATACAATGTACCCCATTGGTCGCCTCGTCCTGCAAGGGAATCTTATTATAAATTTATTTGTATGAGAAATATGGTTTTAGGTAATTCTTGGGTTTACACATTGTGGACAAATACCTTAACACAACATCAGGTATCCCTCCTATTTACAGCCCTAACTTCCATACACATAAGAAAAAGAGTTTATTACGCTCCTGTGTACCATTTGATGCAAACAATATTTTTATAACCGTAAATTTTCACGAGTATTTAACTTAGAAATATTTTTATAACGGCTTAATTTGTGAGGACTCGGATTTAAGAAAGTTCGCTATATATTCGTTGCACTATTGTAGTATATATATAAACACGAAAGGCTTGGACTCGCGATCGTTTTTCTTTGTAAATTTACGCAAAAATAAGTCTGTTCGAATAATATATAATTTGCAGTAAGTAACGGTATTAAAGATACTCTCTAAATATACTTGCTAAATACACTGAAACAGGAAGGAAAGAATTGTGAAAGTTAATGAATGAACGGATGTACTATGGCAGTGTTGGCAGGCATGTGAGAGCACTGAGTCAGCTTATGTACCTATCATCACTATCATTCAATTTGAAAAGGAAGTGCTTATAGATCGAATAATTTCATAGGAAATGACAAAATATTCCAGAAATAAATCGACAACATGACTCTATACATTAAATCGTCAATAAATAAAACGTGATTGGAGAGTAATCAAACATTTCGGCTTAGCAGCTCCTTTTCGAGCTAACGTATACCAGGGCACAGGGACCTGAGAATTTGTTACAGCTATCTTTGGACCTAAACTATAAGGTGTTAAGAGTAATATTACACGTTTTAGGGGTTTATATCAATTTTCGGTAAAAATGCCACACTATAGCTTTAACAAATTCGCAGGTCCCTGTGTACCAGGGCAGAACTATTACTGAGTAACAATGGTGTGCAAGATGCTAATCAGAGCTATAGTGCAATACAGAGTGGACAAGCTTTTGATATTTGCAAAATTTTACTGTTTCCTTAATTATTCCCATTCCTATTATTTCCAGTTCTGCTTGACTTAATAACAATTACAGATGTCCGGAATTATTACATCGGAGTTTTCCATTACTAGACAGCACGATCACCAGGTGTGTTGTCCTTCGGCTTTTTATCACGACGTCCTCCAAATTTTTAACAGTGTTAATCAGAAAATGACTGTCACATTTTCATTTTATAAAAGTTACACCAAACAAATGGTAAGTAACTATGAAAACATAAAACTATTACGTCCGGCCAGGACTAATGGGCCACCAGTGCTGTGTAGTGGTTATTACAGCAGCTAGGCTGGTCGACTATCATGCCTGCATATTGGTATTGCAGCCTGGGACTGATAGACTTCAACTGGTTATGATTCCTACTGTATCGTCCAGGGCTCGTGGACTCTCGCTGTTGCTGATTGAAATTGCAGTCATAGGGTAATACCTGTCCGAGTACATTGTTACATGTACGTTTCTCGCTAGGGTAATACCTGTCCGAGTACAATGTTACATGTACGTGTCTCCATAGGGTATTACCTGTCAGAGTACATTGTTACATGTACATGTCTCCATAGGGTATTACCTGTCAGAGTACATTGTTACATGTACGTGTATCCATAGGGTATTACCTGTCAGAGTACANTAAGTGTCTCCATAGGGTATTACCTGTCAAGAGTACATTGTTACATGTACGTGTCACCATAGGGTATTACCTGTCCGAGTACATTGTTACATGTACGTGTATCCATAGGGTATTACCTGTCAAGAGTACATTGTTAAATGTACGTGTCACCATAGGGTATTACCTGTCCGAGTACATTGATACATGTACGTGTCTCCATAGGGTATTAACTGTCCGAGTGCAGGTGTATATGTACATGTCTCCATAGGGTATTACCTCCATAGGGTATTACCTGTCAGAGTATATTGTTACATGTACTTGTCTACATAGGGTATTACCTGTCGGAGTACATTATTACATGTACGTGTCTCCATGGGGTATTTCCTATCAGAGTATATTGTTACATGTACGTGTCTCCATGGTATTACCTGTCAGAGTACATTGTTACATGTACGTGTATCCATAGGGTATTACCTGTCCGAGTACACTGTTACATTTACGTGTCTCCATAGGGTATTACCTGTCGGAGTACATTATTACATGTACGTGTCTCCATGGGGTATCACCAGTCCGAGTACATTGTTACATATACGTGTATCCATAGGGTATTATCTGTCAGAGTACATTGTTACATATACGTGTCTCCATAGGGCATTATCTGTCAGAGTACATTGTTACATATACGTGTCTCCATAGGGCATTATCTGTCAGAGTACATTGTTACATATACGTGTCTCCATAGGGCATTATCTGTCAGAGTACATTGTTACATATACGTGTCTCCATAGGGCATTATCTGTCAGAGTACATTGTTACATATACGTGTCTCCATAGGGCATTATCTGTCAGAGTACATTGTTACATATACGTGTCTCCATAGGGCATTATCTGTCAGAGTACATTGTTACATATACGTGTCTCCATAGGGCATTATCTGTCAGAGTACATTGTTACATATACGTGTCTCCATAGGGCATTATCTGTCAGAGTACATTGTTACATATACGTGTCTCCATAGGGTATTACCTGTCCGAGTACAGTGTTACATGTACTTGTCTCCATAGGGTATTACCTGTCCGAGTACATTGCTACATGTACGTGTCTCCATAGGGTATTAACTGTCCGAGTGCAGGTGTATATGTACATGTCTCCATAGGGTATTACCTCCATAGGGTATTACCTGTCAGAGTATATTGTTACATGACCATGTCTCCATAGGGTATTACCTGTCAGAGTACATTGTTATATGTACGTGTCTCGCTAGGGTATTATCTGTCCGAGTACATTGTTATATGTCCATGTCTCCATAGGGTATTACCTGTCAGAGTACATTGGTATATGTACGTGTCTCGCTAGGGTATTACCTGTCAGAGTACATTGCTACATTTACGTGTCTCCATAGGGTATTACCTGTCCGAGTACATTGTTACATGTACGTGTCTCCATAGGGTATTAACTGTCCGAGTACATTGTTATATGTACATGTCTCCATAGGGTATTACCTGTCAGAGTATATTGTTACATGAACATGTCTCCATAGGGTATTACCTGTCCGAGTACATTGTTACATATACGTGTCTCCATAGGGTATTATCTGTCAGAGTACATTGTTACATATACGTGTCTCCATAGGGTATTATCTATCAGAGTACATAGTTACATGTACGTGTCTCCATAGGGTATTACCTGTCCGAGTACATTGTTACATGTACGTGTCTCCATAGGGTATGACCTATCAGAGTACATTGTTATATGTACATGTCTCCATAGGGTATTACCTGTCCGAGTACATTGTTTCATGTACGTGTCTCCATGGGGTTTTACCTGTCACATGTACGTGTCTCCATGGGGTATCACCTGTCCGAGCACATTGTTACATGTAAATATCTACATAGGGTATTACCTGTCAGAGTACATTGTTACTTGTACGTGTCTCCATGGGTATTACCTGTCCGAGTACATTGTTACATATCAGAGTACATAGTTACATGTACGTGTCTCCATAGGGTATTACCTATCAGAGTACATTGTTACATGTACGTTTCTCCATAGGATATTACCTGTCCGAGTACATTGTTACATGTACTTGTCTCCATAGGGTGTTACCTGTCAGAGTACATTGTTACATGTACGTGTATCCATAGGGTATTACCTGTCCGAGTACATTGGTATTACCTGTCCGAGTACATTGTTATATGTACTTGTCTCCATAGGGTATTACCTGTCAGAGTACATTGGTGTTACCTGTCCGGGTACATTGTCACATGTACGTGTCTCCATAGGGTATTACCTGTCAGAGTACATTGGTGTTACCTGTCCGGGTACATTGTCACATGTACGTGTCTCCATAGGGTATTACCTGTACGAGTACATTGTTACATGTACGTGTCTCCATAGGGTATGACCTATCAGAGTACATTGTTATATGTACATGTCTCCATAGGGTATTACCTGTCAGAGTATATTGTTACATGTACATGTCTACATAGGGTATTACCTGTCGGAGTACATTATTACATGTACGTGTCTCCATGGGGTATTACCTGTCCAAGTCCATTGTTACATGTACGTGTCTCCATGGGGTATCACCTGTCAGAGTATATTGTTACATGTACGTGTCTCCATAGGGTATGACCTATCAGAGTACATTGTTATATGTACATGTCTCCATAGGGGATTACCTGTCCGAGTACATTGGTATTACCTGTCCGAGTACATTGTTATATGTACTTGTCTCCATAGGGTATTACCTGTCCGAGTACAGTGTTATATGTACGTGTCTCCATAGGGTATTACCTGTTCGAGTATATTGTTATATGTACGTGTCTCCATAGGGTATTACCTTTCCGAGTACGTTGTTACATGTGCGTGTCTCCATAGGGTATTACCTGTCCGAGTTCATTATTACATGTACGCGTTTACATAGGGTATTACCTGTCCGAGTACATTGTTTCATGTACGTGTCTCCATGGGGTTTTACCTGTCACATGTACGTGTCTCCATGGGGTATCACCTGTCAGAGTATATTGTTACATGTACATGTCTACATAGGGTATTACCTGTCGGAGTACATTATTACATGTACGTGTCTCCATTGGGTATTACCTGTCCGAGTCCATTGTTACATGTACGAGTCTCCATGGGGTATCACCTGTCAGAGTATATTGTTACATGTACGTGTCTCCATAGGGGAGTACCTGTCCGAGTAATTTGTTACATGTACGTGTCTCCATAGGGTATTACCTGTACGAGTACATTGTTACATGTACGTGTCTCCATAGGGTATCACCTGTCCGAGTACATTGTTACCTATACGTGTCTCCATAGGGTATTACCTGTCCGAGTTCATTATTACATGTACGCGTTTACATAGGGTATTACCTGTCCGAGTACATTGTTTCATGTACGTGTCTCCATGGGGTTTTACCTGTCACATGTACGTGTCTCCATGGGGTATCACCTGTCCGAGCACATTGTTACATGTAAATATCTACATAGGGTATTACCTGTCAGAGTACATTGTTACATGTACGTGTATCCATAGGGTATTACCTGTCAGAGTATATTGTTACATGTACATGTCTACATAGGGTATTACCTGTCGGAGTACATTATTACATGTACGTGTCTCCATGGGGTATTACCTGTCCAAGTCCATTGTTACATGTACGTGTCTCCATGGGGTATCACCTGTCCGAGCACATTGTTACATGTAAATATCTACATAGGGTATTACCTGTCAGAGTACATTGTTACATGTACATGTCTCCATAGGGTATTACCTGTCAGAGTACATTGGTGTTACCTGTCCGGGTACATTGTCACATGTACGTGTCTCCATAGGGGATTACCTGTCCGAGTACATTGGTATTACCTGTCCGAGTACATTGTTATATGTACGTGTCTCCATGGGGTATCACCTGTCAGAGTATATTGTTACATGTACGTGTCTCCATAGGGGAGTACCTGTCCGAGTAATTTGTTACATGTACGTGTCTCCATAGGGTATTGCCTGTCCGAGTACATTGTTACATGTACGTGTATCCATAGGGTATTACCTGTCAGAGTATATTGTTACATGTACGTGTCTCCATAGGGGAGTACCTGTCCGAGTAATTTGTTACATGTACGTGTCTCCATAGGGTATTGCCTGTCCGAGTACATTGTTACATGTACGTGTCTCCATGGGGTATCACCTGTCCGAGCACATTGTTACATGTAAATATCTACATAGGGTATTACCTGTCAGAGTATATTGTTACATGTACGTGTCTCCATAGGGGAGTACCTGTCCGAGTAATTTGTTACATGTACGTGTCTCCATAGGGTATTACCTATCAGAGTACATTGTTACATGTACGTTTCTCCATAGGATATTACCTGTCCGAGTACATTGTTACATGTATGTATCTCCATAGGGTATTATCTATCAGAGTACATAGTTACATGTACGTGTCTCCATAGGGTATTACCTGTCAGAGCACATTGTTATATGTACGTGTCTCCATAGGGTATTACCTTTCCGAGTACGTTGTTACATGTGCGTGTCTCCATAGGGTATTACCTGTCCGAGTTCATTATTACATGTACGTGTCTCCATAGGGTATTACCTGTACGAGTACATTGTTACATGTACGTGTCTCCATAGGGTATGACCTATCAGAGTACATTGTTATATGTACATGTCTCCATAGGGTATTACCTGTCCGAGTACAGTGTTATATGTACGTGTCTCGCTTAGGTATTACCTGTCCGAGTACATTGTTATATGTACGTGTCTCCATAGGGAATTACCTGTCCGAGAACATTGTTACATGTACGTGTCTCGCTAGGGTATTACCTGTCCGAGTACATTGTTACATGTACGTGTCTCCATGGGGTTTTACCTGTCCGAGTACAGTGGTATGTGGACACTATTATATATTTATAGTAGTTGTGTAATGTGTTACATGTATATTATTTTTGAGATTACCACCGTTATAGCGTGACTCGGTATAGTATATATAATGCGTTCCGTGTTATAACCACCTCTTATTCAATGGACGATCGGTATTCAGTAGTTTTAGATAGTCTACCTGTGTATCTTGTATGTGTCTGGGTGTCCTGATTTTATTCTCCGGTACATTCGACAGTCACACGCCACAATGAACTTGGACACGTTTGGTAAGTTTGTAAACTCTGTTGAGCTAATTTGTATTTTTAAACACAGCATGTGGACCGGCGTGTATATTGATACTGATAGAACTTAGATCAATCTATCCAGGGTACGTTTATATTTAGGTGTACGAAGTTATACGCTTGATGTTATTTAGGTCATGTCGATATCACTAGATGTATGGCGATACCCCGTCCGTAACCACACATACATTTCTACACAAAGTACAGTAGCACATCGGCATCGCTTTACATAACATAACGACAGTAGAATAGCACACGCTATACATAACTACGTCACAGTTATTTAAATCTGCACTGTTTAGTATATGGTATTAGTTATGCATCGGACCAATTAAATAAAACCATTCTTCATCAAAACGTTTCGTTACTTATACGTGCTAGATAAATCGCAAATGAATATTCATGTATTGTTATTATTATTTTTGTCCTTCCTTTTGTTTTAATGGTTCTCCAGCAGCTGTGAGATGTCAACATTTTCATAATTTACAACTTGAACATGCAGCGCAGTTTCGTTTACAAACAAAACACAGAAACAAAGGTTTTAGGCGTAAATGGCTCACCCTAAAAATTAGGGCCGCCGGATTTAATAAATTGTTTCTTTTTGTTTTCTTTTTTCAATTATTTTTTGAATTTAACACTTTCTGAATTTGATGTTCTTTGACTCTGAACAATAAAGTGTAATACCTTTGTAAAGGTGCGGCAAATAAAACCGCCCACACAAACATAAATAGTACTATGCAATCAAATACCCTAATTACAACATATTGTTTTTAGTCAGGTACTTTTCAATATGAAATGATGGTATATCTTACTAAAATTTATGAAATCTGTACTTGTTAAAAAAAACAAATTTGTTTTTGATCAATACCAAAGATAGTCAGTCTGAGCTGGAGAGCTCCATGGCCACCCAACCCTACTCCCAATATTGTCTTTCTTTCATCAATTCTTGGAAGGGGGAGGTGGGATTACCCAGATACCCTAGTGGTAAAGCTCTGACCCGCAGGAAGTGTTGTCTCACTGCTGACCTTGCCCGATTTGGTTTTTTAAACTGATACATTGGATATAGTACCTGGCTAACATAATAACATTATTACATAACTTACATTTCATCAGCACCTGAACAGTAACAACTTGTTTCTGATAATTGCACAGTAACCCTAAATCTACTTTTCCCAGTGACCATAGACAAATATGTCACTGATCCCTATAAATTAAATACTGATTAGAACAAATTGTTTCCAAAGTGTGATGGACATACAATGCAAGTACCTGTACAGGTATAATATAATTAATCACTAGTGCAAAATTCTTTACTGGACTAGACATGAACCATGACCTCACCTATACTTGAAACAATTCTTATATTGAATCATAGGAAAGTATCTCAAAACTGAATAAGGGGAGGAGGGTGGGATTCTTTTCAAAATCTGTCCCAATTTACAGTGGATATAGCTTGAATCGTTCACAATTTTTTCAACTTCTCAAAATGGCGGAGTTCTTCTCGAGGGCTCAAAATTAAAGTGGTCAATGCAACAGTGTCTAACAGCTGAGCTGCCCTCACTGGAACCGGGGCTGACGGGGACCGTCGCTGACCAGGACCGTTGCACATTGTGGCGTTTTCATACACTTGTTTTAGCAAAAGTCTGCCATGATTTGTATCAATATGTGACTAATGTTTAGCATGGGAAAGTATCAGCATCAAATTATCAAGACAAAGTGATTATGATCATTGTTTTTAATACAAAAAGTGTAGCAGAACTCATAATGCTGTGTAGGAATATAGCAGTTACCTCCCTTTGATCATTTAACAACGAAAATACACGGTCCTGAGCGGGGACATCCTTATCAGGAAATCAAATGTTAAACATATCCATTGTGAATCTTCTCATTAGTTAAGTCAGCAGCAATGAATCGGTCAAGCGATGTGTCATAATGATTTTTAAATAAAAATAAGTAACATGAACGACGAAATACTAAATATATACATCAAATAACATACACGGTCCTATGCGGGGACATCCTGATCAGGTAATCAAATGTTAGTTATATCCGTTATATCACATTAATAAATATAGCAAT